GTGTGAGGGGCAGGCAGAGCAGGGACAAGAAGGGGGGCAGCTGGTTTTGGGCCCGGTGCCGGGGCTCAGGGGCCACACATAGACTCGGGAGAGGCGGGGGGTGAGAGAGAGGGGTCTGGGGGCCACGCATTACCCACAATTCCCCGGGAGGCAGGAAGCTAGGAGGGGACAGAGTGCACCTGGGGGTGCCCTTGCCTCCACCCCTGTATTATCTCCAGGCTGCCCCTTTATACACCCCAACTGTCCCCATTTTGCGCATCTGCCCCTTCATTATCTCCTTCCTTAGATCTCCCTCCCTATAGGCCTTCATTACCCCCTTCATCTCTGTCCACACCCTAATGGATCCTTATTACCCCCCTTCCCCTTCTCTGCCCCTTTATGGGCCTTAATTACCCCCTTTTACCTCTGCCTTCAACTTTTAGATCCCAATTCCACTAATCTGCCCTCATTAATTGCCTTCCTTTCCCAAATCTGCCCTCTATGGGCCCTAAATCGGCTGATAATATTTTTACACCCATCCTACCCCTGTCAGGGCTCTGCTGCTCATCTCTATATTCCACATTTATCGGACTTCTGCCATATTGCACCCCCCGCCCCGGACCCCGCTCTTCCTCTACCTGACAGGTCCTCTTTGTAGACTGTTTCATAGTGATGCGCGGCTCTACGGTAAATCACCATCTGATTCCAACTTCCTGCATTTAACCTCTTGACACACCTACAATATTTCCGTTCATACTCTGTATAATATTGGTGGGGGGGGGCGTGTCTATATTACATTGGGGTACACCCCGCTTTCTCATCGGGCTCCCCAGGGTGGGTTCTGGGACACTCCGTCTGTCTATAGTACGGAAGGGGCTCCTACATTCTATATTGTACTATACTTCTCTTCTTCTGTGTGCCCCCTTCCCCCGGCACACTCCGCTCGTATAACCTGTTCACCCTCCGTGTTCTATTGCTGGTTCTGTTTCAGGATACTGTAACCCTCTCCGCAATGCTGGCTCTTTAAAAGGACGGATATCCCCCCGGAGGGGCTTATCGGCCAGCGGAATCGGCACGTCGCAGGGGAGGGGGGGAGCCGCCTTCCGATCATGATCGCACTGAGACGCAGACTGGTCCGAGCAGAGGAGAGCAGGTCTGTATTGGATGTTCCTGTCCATGTTTGCTGTGTGCAGATTTGTTGGTGACTGTTAAAGTTGGATTATATACAATGTTGCTGCGGAGAAACTTTAGATACGTCGAATGTTTTCTATAGCTTAAGTGTATCTAAGCTCAAGAGCAACAATGTCATACGTGGCAGCTTACCAGCCCTCAGATGTGGCGGCTGCTGCAGCTGTTTCCTTTCTCTTAATTTTCACCTGGCGATCCTGCCGGTAAACCGCTTCCTGTCCCGTGGGTGGCTACGCTCTGTCAAGATCTGGGATCAGGCTCTGAGTCCAATAGCTGAAGTAGCAGGCACTTCGTAGTATAACAGGCCGAGATCGGTACACAAGCAGACGGTAGTATGGGAGCAGGCAGAAGCGTAGTCGGAGAACAAGCCGAGGTCAGTAGCCAAAGGTATCGGGTATGAAGTGGAAGACGATGAGAGTAGTCGGTGAATCAGCAGCCAAAGGTCGGTACACAGGTAGCAGTATGAGCGGATTGTATCAGAGGAAGCAAGATAGTGGCAGGAGCACAATAATCTGGCAAGCAGGAAGTGCAGAGGCGTGGCTTAAATAGGAAGTTCAAGGGAGGAGCAAGGAGTTCAGAGTTCAAGAGAAACTAGGTTTACCTGAGGATTACACATGAGAGCAGGCAAGGAGCTATACAAGGTTCTAAGGTGGTTCAGCAGGTAGAACCACCGCCAGCTACAGCAGAGGCCCTGGTTTCAGATCCGGTTCCTGACACGCTCGCTCCTTCACTGTATCTATGCAGGCGGCCATGGTTGCCACCCAGACTGGACATCACACACGTCTGTCTTTGTTGATCTCCCTTACATGGGGGAGATCAGTATGTTGCAGAAGGAATAACATTTGTTTCTGCTTCCAGTTCACCTCACAGGAAGTGACAAGGGCACGGCATTTCTGGCAGGATCAACTGGTATTTTCTGTACTTGCTGAAAATGTTCTTAGGGTGAAAAAAGAATACAAATGCAGCTAAGGACCGGGGAGCTGCGATATGTGACATTTTTTGTGGGTTTAGTTATTTAATATGATACAGGGTAACTGTGGCTTTGCTGCTTCCTTCAGCCTGGGAATCTTTCAGGAAGGACAAAGCACCCCGGGATCACGTGACATCTTCACAAAACTCTTATTTATCAATGGGAAAAGCCGGTACTCGCACGCAGTCTCCACCATCAAGTCTTGTCATATGTAAACATCCGGGAAGAGACCCGCACGTCCCGTGCAGAGCAGAGCAGAGACCCCCCCGTAGCTGATCTTGTTGGGCAGAATCCAGCCGCTGCAGATGTGTTGCAAGGGCGGAGCTCTGATGAAGAGGGTCCGCCCTTGAAATGCATTTGTGAGTGTCAAACTTTATCTTTTGTTTAAAGTTTTTTGTGAAGGTGTCACAGCCCCCAAAATCAGCAGGACTGGCAGTGTGTTCCTGCACCGTGTTCAGCCTCAATGGTATAGGAAGTACGCTTGTGGCTTGTGCAGGAACACACTGCCAGTGCTGATTATCTTGGGGGGACAGCTAGTGATCGGGACACATTTATAACTTGCTTCACCGATAATCCTCCCAGCAGTCATCAGTTTTTATGACAAGGATTTGCATAGACCTGACGCAGTGCTTTACATTTGGCATATTAACATCAGTCCCTGCGGCCAAGGAGCTTACAATCTAAGGTCCCTATCTCACATGTATACAGGGCCAATTAACCTTCCAGCGTGTCTTTGGAGTGCGGGAGGAAATCTACACAAGCACAGAGAGAACATGCAAACTCCTTGTAGATAGTGTCCTGATCCTGAATTCAAACTAGGGAGCCCCGGTGCTGCGAGGCAGAAGTGCCAACCTCTAAGCCACTGTTTTGGGGAGGAACTGTTTTGCTTGTCACCACAGACCAGGGGTATCCGGTGCTGCAAGGCAGAATTGCTAGCCACTGAGCCACTGTATTTGTGGGACTGTTTTTCCCATCACCATAGACCAGGGGTATCCAAACTTCGGCCCTGCAGCGGTTGTGGCATCACACATCCCATAAGGCATTGCAAGACTGACAGACACAGGCATGACTTTCAAGAGGCTGATGCATGATGGGATTTGTGGTTTCAGCACAGCTGTAGGGACAAAGTTTGGCTGCCCGTGCCGTAGACATTAGATTGTCCCTCAGCCCAGCTAATAGGTGGCCTGTTCATCGCGTGTACTGTGGAAACAGTCCGTGTACATTCATCAGTCTATAATAGGGACCGGTTAGGGTACATCTATGGGAGACACTGATTACCATGGAGCTGCGAGAATGGGCTGCTGGTGGAACTGCCTTTGAAGTTTCTCTCCAGGCAAAGATTAAATACCCTGTATTGCAAGTTTCCCATAATCGCTGTGCATTGTGAGTTTGCTGCTTTAAATTGGCCTCTAATATCCATAAATGACCTGGATGATCTGCATTTTCACTGTTGTTGGCCCAAGTTCCGGTTCTGGGTTGACAACACTATACAGCCTCCCCCAGCGTTGTCGGTACCCAGAAGTTGCTGCGTCTCATTGTCTTTGCAAGAGCTCAGATTCTTGCTGCATTGCACATGCGCTGGTTGTGTCAGAATGGGCTCTGACCCTGCTCACTCTGGAGGGCCAAAGACTGGGCCACTTCCTGTCATGTGATGGGAATTGTTGGAGACTGGGGACATGCATCAGGACACATTACATGAGACTGATCTAGATCAGGCCTTCTTAAACTTTCTCCACTCGTGACCCCTTTTTGGCCGAGGAAATTTTTAGGGGACCCCAGCATCGGACGGTGTCTCTCCCCTCTTTCCCTCAATGTCGGTGTGTCCCCCCCCTTCCCCTAGCGTCAGTCGGTGTCTCTCTCCTCCTCTCCCCCTCCCCCGCCGTGGACGGACAGTCAGTGTGTCATTACCACCTACTACTAATCCCCCTCTCCCTCCTTATCTTTACCTCCAGCAGCTGTGCTCCACTTCTACTGGGTTAAAGGATGCTCCGTCAATGTAAACAAAAACAAAAAAAAACCTTCCTGCATGCACGTGCTCAGGAAGGTACCAAGTGCACAGAGGTGGGGGGTATGTGACCTTAAAAACTACACTACACTGCACATTAAAGGAAAAGAAAGAAAAATCTTGCTTGGAGCCCAGGCCTCCCCGGCCGCCTGGGCCCCTCACACAACCCCCCTGATGGCGGTCCTGGCCGGGGACTCAGATCGCGACCCCCCTGTTCACTTGTGGGACCCCATATGGGGTCGCGACCCACACTTTAAGAAGCACTGATCTAGATCACTACAAGTTATGACATCAGAGCTGGACAAATCCCAGGAGCCAGGCCCCGTTCACACTGAGCGGTTTATCGCGCGATATCGCTCTGTCGCTTGTCCAATGCACTCCAATGGAGCTTGTACATGACCCTTTTTTTCTGCGATGTCGCGCGATTCGGCCCTAGTAGACTCAATGGTGTGGCGCAAAATCGTGCATTACCGGCGATATTGCGCAACATCACGCGACAGAAGGGTCACTTTTGCACTGCACACTGTAAGGAAAGAATGATGTCACATCAAGATCGCTGTTGATTGGTCACAGCCCAATGTAGCAGCGATGACGGCCCTTCCCAAAAAACGCCCTATGTAGCGTGATAACATGTGTACTGTCGCTCAATATCGCGCAATGTAGCTCAAAGCCGTTCAGCACGAAATCGCACGGAAGAACGTGCAGTACCCATGTCGCTCAGTGTGAATGGGGCCTTAAGGTTTTCTCTTGATGTCAATGGAGCCGGCCCCCTAAAAAAATAAGTCCTGCTGCCTCCCGGGCTGGACAGACTTCTTCTGAAGTCCATATACATGCGTCCACCCCGGAAGGACATAACTTTACAAAGCAATGCTTCCACATCTGTGCTCCCTACAGACCCCTTCAAAATGACTTGTGCCGTGTATGATATCTCCCTCCATATTATAAAAGATCAGAGGACAAATCCTGCGTAAGATTTCCTTTCTCTTCTGTGAAACAAAATCCAATTGTTTTTGTTTCTTCAGTTTGCAGCTTGTGATTTTTCGGCAGGTTGGTAATAAACCTAATAGGCCGTTAAAGACATGATTCCGGCCTCACGCATTACATTTTGTTGTTTAGTTGTTATTGTCTGTTTGGATTGTTCATTTTATACGGTCACTCACTCTTTTTTGATTGGATAAAAGATTTCTATAGTTGCCCCGTCATAGAACGCGTGCATGCTGTGATGATGAATTGTTATTGTTATACATATTGCAGTGCGGCCATCTGAGCAATATTTGATCTCCCCATTTGTGGTCCTTGCTAGACACCGATAGGCCAGAACATTCTGATCACTGAGAGGTGAATAACATTATTCATTACAATGGCACCTGGAAGTTGGGGGAGTATATTACAGTGGCACCTGGAAGTGGGGGGGATATGTTACAATGACACCTGGATGGGGGGATATATTACAATGGCACGTGGAAGTGGGGGGGATATATTAGTGACACCTGGAAGTGGGGGGGATATATTACAGTGACACCTGGACAAGTGTGAGGATTGGAGGGACTTTGACAAGGCATAAATTGTCATGGCTAGACGACTGGGTCAGAGCAACTCCAAAACTGCAGCTCTTGTGGGATGATACCGGTCTGCAGTGGTCAGGACCGATCAAAAGTGGTCCAATGCAGGAAAACCGGTGAACTGGTGACAAGGTCACGGGTGGCCAAGACTCACTGATGCACAAATGGAGGGAAGGCCGGTCGCAGACATGGCAGCCGTCTGGTGCATTGAAGGAATGGCAAAGCACCTGGCACACGGTAACGCACACTAGGTACGCTGCGCGGCATTGTACGGTTATATGGCGGTACCATGCAATTAACGCAGCGCTATGGTGTGAATAGTCCCTCAAGGTATTCCTTCTGTACCTGCACCTGACGCACGTTTACCATAAGCTGCTGCGCACACAAGAAAAGTAATGGGATCTTTTGAAGGCACTAGAGGCCGGAGTTTGGCTACCCCTGACCTAGACCAAGTGCACTGTAACCATACCGTAAGCTGTTGTCTCGATGTCGGCTTTATTTCCATCTTCAGTGGTCATCGAACAATCCGAATTTATATATAGATGTGAAATCTTAGAGGCTTTATGTCTTCCAAGCAGCCGAGGAGGAAGTAGGTCATCCTAGGAAATCCCCTGCTATGGCTTGTGTCCTAGTTAAAGTTAAACTATCCAGGTTCATGATCAGCAAAAAAAAAATGTGACGAGTACTAAATAAATCAAAACGATCTTCACGGGTTTGGCTCCTTGTGCGTTCTACTCACCCCTTAAAGGAGAACTATGGGGTTAAGGCTTTTCCCCATGGTTCTCCTTAGGGTAACGGGAGGACACAAACTAGCGTCCTCCCGTCACCCTAGGCTCAGTATATAGCGAGCTGTAGCTCTCCCTATACTGAGACGCCGCAGCTGAAGCGGATCCCGACAATTGTGCCGGGATCCGCCCAGCTGCGTGAGTGACAGCTGGCTCTGCCTATCTAGAGGCAGAGCCAGCTGTACCCGCCCCCTCCCCCGTCCATTCCGCCAGTCAGCGTTGGAGGAGCGGGGAGGGGGGAATCCAGCCCATCCCCTGTCACGGCAGAGAGCCGTGACAGGATCAAGAGGTGAGCGAATGCCGGTATGTGTTCGCTCACCTCCCGATCTACTGAGCCGACCTGTGACAGTCTCATTGTCACAGGTCGGCTAGAACTATGAGGTGAGTGAAAAGCACCCCCCCTCCCTCATAGTTCTCCTTTAAAGCGGAACTCTGGGCAGCTACAGAGAAATGTCTTGTAAGGCTTTTATTCAGTATATTGGTTTGTTAAAGCGTTCCCGCGCTCTGGTTTTATTACAAGTTGACCAATGCACAAAAATGTAAATTAAAAAACATTCTATTTTTTTAATAATGCAATTGTATCTGACGTTATCACTATTAAAGTAGTTGTATAGGTTGAAGAATTGGACTGTAGGTCATTGGACCAGGCCAATGGGACTTCTAGCATTAGGTTTGGAGGTTAAACTGTTCCAAGTGACAAAAACCGACAGTTGACATTTTTTTAGCTTTTTTTTTTTCCCCTTTGCGGTCACGTGACCCCACAAACCGTCCTAGTTATCTGTACGGTGGGTGGGTGTAAAACTAAGAATGCGACTCCAGTTTTCAGGGCAATTTAGAGAAGACTAACAGCTACTGGAGGAATAATGACATCACGCGTCGCTTCCTTATCCCAACAGCATGGGGAATCTCAGAGACACAGCAGTGTTGTCGGAGCCAGACACAATCCCGGTTCACGTACAGCAGCGGTTCTCAACCTGTGCGTCGCGACCCCCTCGGGGGTCGAATCACGATTTGCCAGGGGTCGCCCGGGAGTCTCCCGCTATTAGCGGCTCTTGGCCGCCCGGGAAAGAAACGCTTTCTCCCGGGAAGTGTAAAGCAGAGTAAACCTTTCCCTGCAGACGTTTTTTTTTTTTTTCTGACATCAGGGCCGCTGGCCACCGTAAGTCAGAAAAAAAACCCACCATAGGAATGCATAGCTAGATTCCTATTGGCTATTTCACTTTGCAATAGCAAACTAGATATTGCACCCACCCTCTGCTGCTGCCAATCAGCAGAGGGGGACATGCAGTTCTCCATCCGGTCCTCTTCTAGTGATTGGCAGCAGCAGAGGGCGGGTGCAATAGCTAGTTTGCTATTGCAAAGTGAAATAGCCAATAGGAATCTAGCTATGCATTACTATGGTGGTTTTTTTTTCTTTTATTCTGACGGCGTACGCCAGCGGTTCTCAACCTGTGGGGGGGTTGCTGTGTGATTTCTGCTGTGCTAGGTGAGAGTCCTCCTCAACCCTCTCCCAGCGCAGTAGTGTCCGTTCTCCCGCCACGCCGCCAGATGTCGCTGAAGCCGCCGCATCATCCCTAAATTTTACCGTTGGGGGTCAACTCAACTTGGCAAATGTTACCAAGGGGTCCCGGCCCTAGAAAGGTTGAGAACCACTGGTGTACAGTGAGGGGAAGCATCCAACATGGACAGAGATAATAAATAACTAATGAAGCAGCTCCGCTCCTGGGTGCTGATCGGCACTGGAAACTAGGTTAGGATCAGGGAAGTTGTCAGTGTTCACCTGCAGGCTGAAGACCTTTTATAGTGAATGAAGCCTCCACCCTGCAGAGCTGACAGCGGTCACATGATGAGGAAACACTTTTGATTGGTTCCCTGCTATTAGTGGGCACCCTGCCTGTTGGTGACCGCAGGAATTGAGAGCCAGCCAAAAAAGACCTAGTACTATTCTTGGGAGTTGCTAAAATATAAGACCTACCCCGAAAATAAGACCAAGTTGTGATCATTCCCAGGGCCGGTGGTGGCATAAGGGGGAACTCGAGGAGCCGCAGGAGAGAACCATCGGTGCCAACAAAGCCAGCGCTAGAGGAAGCAAGGCGGCACCGGAGGGAGCAGAGCCGCATAAGCCGATGCCTCCTCTATAGCGCCTGTCACTGGCGGAGTGATACCAAATGCACTGTGAGGAATCGATAGTGTAAGCGCGCTTCGCTCATTCTTTTGTACATGATTAAGTGGTGAATAAAATAATACCTACCCCGAAAATAAGACCTAGTGTGTTTTTTGAGCCAAAAAAAATATATAAGACAGTGTCTTATTTTCGGGGAAACACGGTAGATGGTTCCATATGTGTCCACCTTTCCTCTGTCCAGTTTGAATGGCTCTAGCTAATCATATTGATCTTCTTTTTTTTTTTCTGCCCTTTCTTCCAGGTGTGGGTGCAGCTGAGGCATCGCGAGGCCCCAGTGGGAGATGTCGGCAAAGGGCCTGGGTGCTGCGCGGCGCAGGAGGACGCGCTGCCGAAAGTGTGAAGCCTGTGTGCGCAGCGAATGCGGCGAGTGCCACTTCTGTAAAGACATGAAGAAGTTCGGAGGTCCGGGGCGCATGAAGCAGTCTTGAAAATCTAAACTTTGATTCATTAACACGATTTAATGTGGCAAAGAAAAGGGATTAAAAAATAAGAACAAATCACTAAAAATATACATACAGAGCACCTCCACCCTCTAGGTTCAAACCCTGTTCTTCTAGACACATAGAAGCCTATCAGGAGTTTGATGGCCATGGCACGCCCATTGCTGCGTCTGATGACTGGATTGCATTGATGGGGTAGCCAAACTTCAACCCTCCAGGTGTGGCAAAACTACAAATCTCATTATGCATTGCCAGACTGACAGCCACAGCGTTTACTTCCAGGGTAGATGTATGTTGGCATTTGTAGTTTCATCACAAGCTGGAGGGTCAGTGTTTGGCTACCCCTGGCATATGAGATGAGGGTCTAGGAAGGGCTACTGAGACACAGCAATGGCTTAAAATATGGGCCTGGGCAAAAATTAGTTGCAGAGCTACCCACTGTAAGGGCCATGTCTCCGACAACTAACACTGTTTCCAGGAGAAGGTTACCGGAATCTACGTCCGGTTTGCAAAGCTGCTTATGTGGGCATGTCTGGTGTCCAGAAAAGAAATGGACACTCCAATAGTGAATCGATTACGTCTATTTATTGACGTACATCAAAAGCAAAATAACACACTTAGTGCCACGTTTCGGGGACACACAGGAACCCCTTCATCAGGCACATCATTTGTTTTGCCTGATGAAGGGGTTCCTGTGTGTCCCCGAAACGTCGCACTAAGTGTGTTATTTTGCTTTTGATGTACGTCAATAAATAGACGTAATCGATGTACTATTGGAGTGCCGGTGTCTTATTTCTTTTCTGCATTAATTTGACGGTGGCCATCCGTCGACTACTGAGCACCCAGGATACTTTGTTGGACGTGCGGTCAGGAGTGCTATGGGTACATGGACTGATGTCTGGTGTCCAGACACCGAGATCCCTAATAGGAGTGTTTGGAAGCCGCGTAATAAGATTTTGTTTTTCTCTGCAGCCTGTACTCCCCCATACTGCTGTGTGTCTTCTATGCGGAGATGCTGGGAAGGAAGACACCGCTCAGGATGAGGAACAGAAGTTTAATCTGTCGCTTATGGAATGTACCATTTGTAATGAGATTGTTCATCCCGGCTGTATCAAGGTAAGACTCCCTACTGAGTGACATGGCCTGCTTCTGGGTTTACACCTGCTGTCTATTGCCTCTCTTCCTTGTATGGCTTCTTTGTTTTTGTAATTGTCTCTTTAACCCCCCACCCCATTTTTTTTTCTTTTTCAGATGGGCAAAGCCGAAGCGGTTATAAACACTGAGATTCCCAACTGCTGGGAGTGTCCGAGATGTAAGCGCGAAGGCCGGACATGCAAGGTGAAGTACCTGACTTGTTCTGCAGTTGGCAGGGTAAAGGGTCAGCAAGATGGGCTTGTGTTGTCTGTGCTGGTGCCATAATCGGCCCAGGAAAAGGTGTGGGACACAGGTTGCATCCTCAGCCATTTGGGTCATTGGGGCATGCGTGTGCCTTCATCAGTTCATGGAAGACGGGACCTCCTGTGGGTAACTTACTTGTGACATCCTAATAGTTACTTCGGTTGTGGTGGTCTAGAACCTTTTTGAAGACAAAATTTTGTCTTTGCAAAAAAAAAAAAAAAGCCCAGCGGGCTGGTACTAGAATTTCTATCTTGAAGGGATATACCTTTTTTTTTATAACTAAGGCCTGCTGCTTGGTAGAAACAGGCTAACGTCTTCCATTCTTCCAGGACCCCCTGGATGGGTCGGGGAAAAAACGTCCTGATAATGGCGAAGATGCCGTGCGGTGGAAACTGACGGACGATCAGGCTCCAGGCAAGAAGAAAACCACAGATGAGAATCAGGGACATAAAAGGAAGAAGGAGAAGGAGCCGGTGCAGGAGGCAGGAGTGAAGAAAAAGGTAATGGGACACAAGATGTGAATACACCGCTGGCTGCACTTGTTAAAGTAGAACTACAGGCTTTTGTGTCCCCCCTCTCCCTTTCCCTTCCATATTTAAAAAGAAAAATGGAGGCAATTTGGTACTTGCCCTCTCACACTTCAGCGCTGTCCCCCAACTTCCTCCTCGGTCCGCCATAAGAGCTGGGCTTGCAGTACTCCCGGACTGTGCGGTGCTCATGTTATGTGACCACGGCTCAGTCCTGGAAGAACCTGTCCCCCACCACCAATGGAAGAGGAGGAAGCTGCTGTGACATCACCCGTCTGACTTAGGGGGGTCTGGGAGTGGGGTGTATAACATGCCTGGCGTTCCTGTTTAAAACACGACTATTTTAATGCATAATAATGCTTTTCAGGTAGAAGTTCCATTCTTTCCTATGTGTGCGGATCACGTCTATATGTTGCAGTTTAGTGCCTTTGTAAAGGGAAAGTGTAAGGACCGGGTTTGTGTTTAAAACATGTTCTCACTTTCTTCTCCCTCTTGCAGGTAAAGTCTGAGAAAGATAAGAAAATTAAAAAGGTGAGTGAGGCTCTTTGACCCTTGATGATGCACATTAAAGCCGAACTCCAGAATCCTTTAAAATGGTCTCCTACACTTCCCTTTACCTCAACCTTAAATGAGAGCAATGGGGTAACCCAGGGATGTCCAAACTGCGGCCCTCCAGCTGTGATGGAACTACGAATCCCATGAGGCTTTGCAAGATTCCCACAGACATGACTCCCGGAGAGAGATGCTTCATGGGATTTGTTGTTTCACCACAGCTGGAGGGCCGCAGTTTGGTCATTCCTTGGGTTACCTTTTTAGCCCATAGTGCTTTTTAGGGTCACGGGAGGACATGTACTAACCTCCTCCTCCTACCTCCCGTGACCCAAAGCTCAGTAAATAGCGAGCTTTTGCCCGCTATATTCTAAGAGCGCCGCAGCTGTGATGGATCCTGATAATACTGTTGAGATCCACCCAGCTGCGTGAGTGACAGCGGCCTCTGCCTATCTAGAGGTATAGCCAGCTGTGCCCGCCCCCTCCCCCGTCCGTTCCTCCACACAGCGCTGGAGGATCGGAGGGGGGCAATCCCTGCATGGAGCAGTGACAGTCACCGCTCTCTGTAGGGAGATGATCCGGGAAGTGAGCGATCGACGTTATGTGTTTGCTCACTTCACGATCTATAGTGTCAACGTGTCACACGTCGGCTCGAACTATGAGGATGTGTGTAAATCACTCACCTGATAATTCTCCATTTAAAGAACAACTACTTTTTCCCTCTGTTAAAAAAGAATCTTTGAATGTGTCATGACATCATTATTAGTATTGTGGTGTAGGTATGTGCGTCCGCTGGGAGAAGGGAACATTGAGACGGCCAGCGCAGACACACAATCACAAGAGGCTCTTGTGATTGTGTGACGTCTATGTCCAATAAATGGACATGTTGGATTATTCTACTGAGTGCTGGTGATTCCTTTTCCTATATTGAGCTACATTGCACATTTTGTCGCGCTACGTAGTGCGACTTATCGCAGGGACTTTGTAGCTGCTACATTGGGCTGTAACCAATCAAAAGCAGTCTTGATGTGACATCATTCCTCCCTCCTTATATTTCTGTGCAAGAGTGACACTTCTGTAGCGCGACTTAGTGCAACAATGTCCTACACCATTAAAGTCTATTGGGCCAAATCGCACAAAATCGCCCGCAAAATAGGTCATGTTTGAGGGACGAGCTACAGGCGACATTGAAATGCATTAGACAAGCTTCATTGAGGGACATTGAGGTGATTTTTGAGCGATTTTTGGCGCTGAAATCGCTCAGTGTGAATGGGGCCTTGAGGACCGGTTTAAGAGCTGAAGAAGAGAGCATAGTGAACACGGGTCTTGTAAACCAGATATTCGGAGACTGAGCCATCTCAATGAGAGTATTGCTAAAAAAATGACGGACTCCATATTGCTAGGACTAGGCTATTGCGAAGCGGTATTAATGCTTCTGACTGGAGTTCAGCTTTATGGTTAAGAGTTTTTAGTCTTCTAAAAAAACGTTATAAAACATTTGATGTTCCATAATCATATTTTTTTTATACAGGAGCCTCAGACGCCAACCGAACCCACTCCGGTGCTGGACCGCTCCCACCAGCGAGAAAAGATCGAGCGCTTCAAGCAGATGTGTCAGATGTTGGAGAGGGCTCGCAGCACCACCTCCAGTTCCAGCTCCGATTCCGACTCCGATTCCGACTCCAAAGGCTCGCGGGGGAGCAGCGACACGGGCGAAGGGGAGAGCCGGACTTCGCGCGTCAGCTTCAGTACCAGCTCGGACGAGGACGACGACAGAGCGAGCTCTACGGACGGACAGAACGGCACCAGGAACGGCAAACAGAAGTCGCCCAGATCAAACTGCCGCGAGAAAGAGAACCGGAGAGGCGGTGGGGCCGCGGCCAAGAAGGGAACTTGTAGCAGGAATGCAGTGCAACCCTTATCCAGGAGCCAACTCTTAAAAAGGCCGCTGGTCCCGTCTCCGCCAAAACCCCCTCCCCTGCAACTAGAGAGACATGTGGTACGACCCCCTCCTCACAGCCCCGAGCCGGACTCTCTCCCCCTGGACAGTGGAATGGACCATGTAATGCAGAGGGGGGTCTGGCTCTCTGTATTCAGGCACTTGGGACAGAAAGAGCTGTGTGTTTGTATGCGGGTGTGCCGAACCTGGAACCGGTGGTAAGAATTGAGGGTTACTCAGGGAGTTCTGTAATACTGGTCTTGTCTACCTTTCAGGAAAGTCCCAAAAAAACTCTGTAAAAGGTTGTATAGAAGTCAACAGAAAAGGGACTCCTTCACCCCGATTCCTGGTCATAAAGCATGCTGATTCATTGGTACCTTAAATTGACATGAAACCCTCAGATTTTGTAACATAAACCAATACTGTAATGTGTGCCTTACTGTAATCCATGGTTGTTTCCCTTCTCTTTGCTGCTCTTCCTTTTAAATCCTCATGTCTTCTCATGCTGGGGGAGAACTTCCCTTTGCAGCAGAGTGCCTCTTCCTGTAGTGCTGGCTCAGGTTGCAAACCTATACACAGACACCGTGTATCCATTCCTGAGACATGGTAGTCTGCTGCAAAACAGAAGTTCTGCCCAGCATGAGAAGAGATGAGGATTTAAAAGGAAGAGCAGCAAAGAGAAGGGAAACAACCATGGATTACAGTAAGGCGCACATTACAGTATTGTTTTATGTTACAAAAGCTGAGGGTTTAATGTCACTTTAAAGCAAACTTTTCACACGTTGGAGAGGATGGAAAACAAAAGCATTTAAAGGAAGATCCCACCCATCTAGAGTAGGAAAGATTAGAACCTCTGTCCACTTGGAAAGGTTTCCCTTTCACTTCCTGTTATATAGACCAAACAGGAAGTTGAGGGAATCATTGCAAAGTGGACAGATGGCAGAAAAAAAAACGTTTAATAAGCAGATTTGGGGGAAGGATGAGAACCTAAACAGAAGGTCTAAGTTTTCTAATCTTTTTTCCAGGATTGGGGCAAGAATTTACTCTACACACTCATGGGAATAAGCTTGCTTAAGGGCTCGTTCACACCATCCAGTGCGTTCAGGATACGGTTCCGTGCCATGAACGCACTGGATCGCATTAACAAAGGTTCCCCGCGGGAGGAGGCGTGGTGGTGCCATTAATTTCAATGGCAACGCAGACATGCCTCCTGCCCGCACCAGAACGCATGGTACCACAATGCCCTGCATTCCAGTGTCAGAAACAGGTGCCTGCATGGTGTGAACAGGCCCTCTAAGTGTTACTATGGGCAAAATAAAAAGCGATGCATAGGATATAGTCTGGCATTAGCACAGCAGGTATTGTTCCTCAGCGCCCCACATAACAATGTTTTATTTTACTTAGGGCTGCAACAACTAATCGATGATGAGAATAGTTGGCAACTATTCTCATCATGGATTAGTTGTTTGGAGAGGGAGAGAGATTTTTTTTTTTTATGCAACAAATTGATCACAAAAATAATCGGGCAACTAATCGATAATGAAAATATTAGCGGCAGCTCTAATTCTACTTGTTAATCCCACCAGTAGATCTGTTCTTTCTCTGGTAACATACAAAGCTGTCCAGCAGACGAGTCAGGTACAGGGATGTGACAAACTATATAACATTGCTGGGGGTGCTTACAATGGTCACCTTTCTATTATTGTGGTTTGAAACTTTTTTTTTTCCCCCCCCCCAAAAAAAGAAAAACTTTGAGGGTGTTGAGCTGCAGTTTTCCATTGAGACCCTTAGAACCGCAGTGCACCTTAAGCTGGCCATACACCTAGAGATTATCTGCAGGTTCTCTATGGTCAGATGGAAAAAGTGCAACAGATTCCTCCGTCTACGCTAAACTGTGTGTATGGAGGAATCTCCCGCTGGGCCGAGCCTCAGTATCTTGCTAGTCACCCCCGCTGGCTGTCAAAATACCTGAACAATCTGATTGGATGCCGGCAGTGTTCAGGCATTTTGAGAGCCAGCAAGCGGGGCCGACTAGCAAGATACTGAGGCTTGGCCCAGCGGGAGATTCCTCCATACACACTTTTTCCATCTGACCATAGTGAACCTGCAGATTATCTCTAGGTGTATGGCCGGCTTTAGAAACCCATGGCATTTTCTGTACAATCAGACATGATATCACATTCTTCAATTCTATATGGCAGAGTGATCCCATGGGTTAGTGTCTCAGTGTGACGTTTTGATCCCTCATTACTCAATTGTGCACATTTAGATTGACTTCACACCTTATGTGTTGCTGTAATGGATAACCCCCTGGTCAGGTGTGGTCTATTCATTTTAAATGGTACCCCTAAACACCTTACCAGTGCCCCTCCAAGCACAGCCCAACCACTGGAAACGATGCACTCCCTGTGTGTCTGATAACTGAGCAGCGGTTGGGAAGCGAGGCATAGTGGTTGTTGCGCCCTCTAGTGGCTCATTTACAAAATGCTACAGTTGGGTGTCACCCCTACATTTAATGTGTCCGTGTCTCCCATGTAGTTGTGTGTAAATGTAGACTGGCTTTATTTTCTTCTTTGCTGTAAAATGCCTGAAGATCCTGCCAGTCTCCCTTCTTTACAGTTGCAATTAGGGATGCACCGATACTAGTATAGGTGCCGATACCGAGTATTTGGGCTCGTACTCGCCAAAATGCTCCGATGCCTAGCACGAGTACTTCCGGTATCAGGAAGCAGGGCAGCGCGTCCTTACACGCTGCCCGGTTTCCTGTAAACCCTCAGATTTTTTAACATAAACCAATACTGTAATGTGTGCCTTACTGTAATCCATGGTTGTTTCCCTTCTCTTTGCTGCTCTTCCTTTTAAATCCTCATGTCTTCTCATGCTGGGGGAGAACTTCCCTTTGCAGCAGAGTGCCTCTTCCTGTAGTGCTGGCTCAGGTTGCAAACCTATACACAGACACCGTGTATCCATTCCTGAGACATGGCAGTCTGCTGCAAAACAGAAGTTCTGCCCAGCATGAGAAGAGATGAGGATTTAAAAGGAAGAGCAGCAAAGAGAAGGGAAACAACCATGGATTACAGTAAGGCGCACATTACAGTATTGTTTTATGTTACAAAAGCTGAGGGTTTAATGTCACTTTAAAGCAAACTTTTCACACGTTGGAGAGGATGGAAAACAAAAGCATTTAAAGGAAGATCCCACCCATCTAGAGTAGGAAAGATTAGAACCTCTGTCCACTTGGAAAGGTTTCCCTTTCACTTCCTGTTATATAGACCAAACAGGAAGTTGAGGGAATCATTGCAAAGTGGACAGATGGCAGAAAAAAAAACGTTTAATAAGCAGATTTGGGGGAAGGATGAGAACCTAAACAGAAGGTCTAAGTTTTCTAATCTTTTTTCCAGGATTGGGGCAAGAATTTACTCTACACACTCATGGGAATAAGCTTGCTTAAGGGCTCGTTCACACCATCCAGTGCGTTCAGGATACGGTTCCGTGCCATGAACGCACTGGATCGCATTAACAAAGGTTCCCCGCGGGAGGAGGCGTGGTGGTGCCATTAATTTCAATGGCAACGCAGACATGCCTCCTGCCCGCACCAGAACGCATGGTACCACAATGCCCTGCATTCCAGTGTCAGAAACAGGTGCCTGCATGGTGTGAACAGGCCCTCTAAGTGTTACTATGGGCAAAATAAAAAGCGATGCATAGGATATAGTCTGGCATTAGCACAGCAGGTATTGTTCCTCAGCGCCCCACATAACAATGTTTTATTTTACTTAGGGCTGCAACAACTAATCGATGATGAGAATAGTTGGCAACTATTCTCATCATGGATTAGTTGTTTGGAGAGGGAGAGAGATTTTTTTTTTTTATGCAACAAATTGATCACAAAAATAATCGGGCAACTAATCGATAATGAAAATATTAGCGGCAGCTCTAATTCTACTTGTTAATCCCACCAGTAGATCTGTTCTTTCTCTGGTAACATACAAAGCTGTCCAGCAGACGAGTCAGGTACAGGGATGTGACAAACTATATAACATTGCTGGGGGTGCTTACAATGGTCACCTTTCTATTATTGTGGTTTGAAACTTTTTTTTTTCCCCCCCCCCAAAAAAAGAAAAACTTTGAGGGTGTTGAGCTGCAGTTTTCCATTGAGACCCTTAGAACCGCAGTGCACCTTAAGCTGGCCATACACCTAGAGATTATCTGCAGGTTCTCTATGGTCAGATGGAAAAAGTGCAACAGATTCCTCCGTCTACGCTAAACTGTGTGTATGGAGGAATCTCCCGCTGGGCCGAGCCTCAGTATCTTGCTAGTCACCCCCGCTGGCTGTCAAAATACCTGAACAATCTGATTGGATGCCGGCAGTGTTCAGGCATTTTGAGAGCCAGCAAGCGGGGCCGACTAGCAAGATACTGAGGCTTGGCCCAGCGGGAGATTCCTCCATACACACTTTTTCCATCTGACCATAGTGAACCTGCAGATTATCTCTAGGTGTATGGCCGGCTTTAGAAACCCATGGCATTTTCTGTACAATCAGACATGATATCACATTCTTCAATTCTATATGGCAGAGTGATCCCATGGGTTAGTGTCTCAGTGTGACGTTTTGATCCCTCATTACTCAATTGTGCACATTTAGATTGACTTCACACCTTATGTGTTGCTGTAATGGATAACCCCCTGGTCAGGTGTGGTCTATTCATTTTAAATGGTACCCCTAAACACCTTACCAGTGCCCCTCCAAGCACAGCCCAACCACTGGAAACGATGCACTCCCTGTGTGTCTGATAACTGAGCAGCGGTTGGGAAGCGAGGCATAGTGGTTGTTGCGCCCTCTAGTGGCTCATTTACAAAATGCTACAGTTGGGTGTCACCCCTACATTTAATGTGTCCGTGTCTCCCATGTAGTTGTGTGTAAATGTAGACTGGCTTTATTTTCTTCTTTGCTGTAAAATGCCTGAAGATCCTGCCAGTCTCCCTTCTTTACAGTTGCAATTAGGGATGCACCGATACTAGTATAGGTGCCGATACCGAGTATTTGGGCTCGTACTCGCCAAAATGCTCCGATGCCTAGCACGAGTACTTCCGGTATCAGGAAGCAGGGCAGCGCGTCCTTACACGCTGCCCGGTTTCCTGATTGGCTGGGAAGCGGCTCCATGCTCTCGTCACTTGTGATGAGAGAGCATGGAGCCGACTTCCCGGCCAATCAGGAAGGCGGGCAGCGTGTAATGACGCGCTGCCCGGCTTCCTGATTGGTCGGGAAGCTGGCCAATTAGGAAGGCGGGTGCCGAGTAATGACGCAGCGCCCGGCATTCTGATTGGCCGGGAAGCTGGCTTCATGCTCCTTCGTCATCTCATATCGAGGGAGCATGGAGCCGGCCTCCTGGCCAATCAGAAAGCAGGGTGTCGGGTCATTGCAAGGCGCCCGGCTTCCTAATTGGCCAGCAAGACGGCTCCGGCTGGGTACCGGAGGAAGGCCGCGTTCTGGCTGTAGAGGCCCTGGGGGTGACGAGGGGACAGACTTTCTTGTTAATCGGGAAGCCGGGTGGCGAGTCATTACACGCCAGCTGGCTTCCTGAATGGGACTTCCGTTACTCGGTAATTGGTATCGGCGAGTACCGGAAAAAAATTATCGGTGCTCGGTACCAAAATACCGGTATCAGTGCATCCCTAGTTGCGATCTATCCACGCTTATCATGGAAGCAGATCCGCACTGGTGTGGTCACTTTGCGTATCAGTCTTTCCTGTTTGGAGTCGCAAGACGCCATGATGATGCACGGTGCCCCCGTATATCTTTCATGGGCAGTTCAGGTGCCACTCCCTCCCCCGCCCAGCCCTGATGTGTTGATTGACAGCGGCTCCCACAGGGGCGTTCATACCATATTGAACTGGGACAGTTGTGATGGGATGGAGTGACTCCTATCAGAAGACATGGGAGCAATGTCCTTTTTAAGTTTCCGTCACATGCCCAGACCCAGAAAGGACACCTGTGATTGGTTGCAGAGTACAGCAGTGGTCGAAGAGACTGTCCTCATTCTGTCGTCAGCATTGAATAAAACTTTATTGTTCCCAATGAAGAATACAAAAGGTCTGCCCAGACCCTCCTCGCTTTAACGGATTTCACCCAAACAGGGCTTGGTCGTAGAGGTATTTGGGTAAAATGTATCGGGGCGAGGAGGGTCTGGGCAGAACTTCTGTATTCTACTAAAGTTTTATTCATGCTGACGCCATCGGAGTCTGGCCGGTCTCTTGGCCGCTGACACGTGCAGAGCGGGGACAAATTCCATGCCTACAGAAGCTGGACTCGGCACTCCGGTTCTTCTTTTCACTAATGTAGTGACCCTCTAACAGTTTGCATTCTGTATCACGGCAGGTGCTGCGACCGACGCCTCTGGACATCCATTGACTTGAGCAGGCGGAAATCAATCACCCCTCCGATGCTGAGTGGTATGGAAATAGAAGGAAGAGGGCTAATCATTTCTCTTTGCTCATTCTCGTCATTCTCTCTCTTAGGATTAAAGGAACTTCTATTGGCTGGATGTACATGGAGCGCAGTCTCCTCTCTCTGTACTGCCTCCTTCCCCTGCCTGTCTCTGCTGGACCTCGGCTGGGTACAGGGCATGAAAACTTCCCACCTCCGTGAGCTGCTCTCACCTCCCACCACCGACTGCAAGACAGGTGAGTGTCCCTTGGGCCCCTCCCACAAGATAGGCCAGTGTCCTTCTGGCCCCTCCCACAAGATAGGCCAGTGTCCCTCTGGCCCCTCCCACAAGATAGGCCAGTGTCCCTCAGGCCCCTCCCACAAGATAGGCCAGTGTCCCTCAGGCCCCTCCCACAAGATAGGCCAGTGGCTTGGCTTTATCACAACATTTGCTTTCAAGGGTAACTCTGCCTACAGTGTATATTAAACCCTACAGTTAATCTGCCAGAAATCCAGTGCTCTCCTGTGTACTCTGCAATGTTATCTCAGACATTAGCAGCCCTTTCCAATTATCCTCCGTGGACTGAAGAACACCTCCTCCAAATGTATGGAGATTAGAAGAGGGGAAAGCGTTCTGTAGTCCTAAAGCACTACCTGTCCTATAGTGACTGCATTAGACTGTCTCTACCCCTTGGGAAATCTTTTTTTGAGATCACAGCGCTGAGTTCCCGGGTCTGTACACCCGCTGTGCCCATTATGAGGAGCTCCCACCCTCCCTGTGCTGAGTTCCCGGGTCTGTACACCCGCTGGGCCCATTATGAGGAGCTCCCACCCTCCCTGTGCTGAGTTCCCGGGTCTGTACACCCGCTGGGCCCATTATGAGGAGCTCCCACCCTCCCTGTGCTGAGTTCCCGGGTCTGTACACCCGCTGGGCCCATTATGAGGAGCTCCCACCCTCCCTGTGCTGAGTTCCCGGGTCTGTACACCCGCTGGGCCCATTATGAGGAGCTCCCACCATCCCTGTGCTGAATTCCCGGGTCTGTACACCCGCTGTGCCCATTATGAGGAGCTCCCCCCATCCTTGTGCTGAATTCCCGGGTCTGTACACCCGCTGTGCCCATTATGAGGAGCTCCCCTCATCCTTGTGCTGAGTTGCCGGGTCTGTATACCGGCTGTGCCAATTATGAGGAGCTCCCACCATCCCTGTGCTGAGTTCCCGGGTCTGTACACCCGCTGTGCCCATTATGAGGAGCTCCCACCATCCCTGTGCTGAGTTCCCGGGTCTATACACCTGCTGTGCCCATTATGAGGAGCTTCCACCATCCCTGTGCTGAGTTCCTGGGTCTGTACACCCGCTGTGCCCATTTTAAGGGGGTCCCCCCATCCCTGTGCTGAGTTCCTGGGTCTGTACACCCGCTGTGCCCATTATGAGGAGCCCCCACCATCCCTGTGCTGAGTTCCTGGGTCTGTACACCCGCTGTGCCCATTATGAGGAGCCCCCACCATCCCTGTGCTGAGTTCCTGGGTCTGTACACCCGCTGTGCCCATTATGAGGAGCTCCCACCATCCTTACTGGATTCACTTAATATGGAGGGATACAGCAATGGGGATGGGAATGTCATGGGATGGAGGTCTTATCACTGGGGTCACCAATAGGTATGAGAAGCCATCGGCAGGTTTCTTGGCCCACCAGCATGTTGCAGTAACTGACATGTCACTGTTGGCTGGAACATCCCCTTGAAGTCTGCAGTCTCGGTGTTGCACAGCAGGTGGCGCCTCTGTAATCTGTATTTATGCTGCAAAGCATTTCACCATTGCTTCCAGTTGCAGAATTGTGCTATATGTAATAGTTCCACGAAAGGGAATCTCCTGGTTTCCTAATGATATAAAAACATATCCACATCACCTTTTGTCATTTTGTGTAGCAAAAAATACTTTTTATCTGCAGCAGTCCAGTGAAAACTTCATATTAAAGGAGAACTATGAGGGGGGTGCTTTGCACTCAGCCTCATAGTTCTAGCCGACCTGTGACAATGAGACTGCCACAGGTCGGCTCAGTAGATGGGGAGGTGAGCGAACACATACCGGCGTTCGCTCACTTCTCGATCCTGTCACGGCTCTCTGCCGTGCCGGGAGTGGCTGGATTCCCCCCTCCCCCCTCCGATCCTCCAGCGCTGACTGGCGGAACGGACGGGGAGGGGGCGGGTACAGCTGGCTCTGCCTCTAGATAGGCAGAGCCAGCTGTCACTCACGCAGCTGGGCGGATCCAGACAGAATTGTCGGGATCCGCTTCAGCTGCGGCGTCTCAGTATATAGAGAGCTGTAGCACGCGGTATACTGAGCCTAGGGTGACGGGAGGACGCTAGTTTGTGTCCTCCTGTTACCCTAAGGAGAACTATGGGGAAAAGCCCTGACACCATAGTTCTCCTTTTAATATTCTCGCAACTTGAACATCCTAAAACAGCAGCATTTCCACCAATGCAACCTAGCTGTCATTTACTAAATGGATGTCTAAAGCGAAGCTGAAGTCTGGAAGCTGTGCCTAAAAAAAAAAAAAAAAAAAAAAGGCAGAGAGCCAAGACTAGGTACCAGTACTGCCTGTGATCTACCTGCAGGTGATCTTTCTCCATTATAGACTTTACCTTGCCTTGTTTTGCACTGCATCTCTGGAGGTGGCCATCTTGGTAGAGGCAGGGCTTTGCTTTCTCATGTCAGAGCCTCCAGCAAGGAGAACATTGAGTAGCACAACAGTTGGCATCACCAAATCTTACTGCAGATCTGGAGAGGTCAGAATTCAGAGGCAGCAGTACCTTAGATCGCACATTATAGATATGCAGGTGTAATGCTATAGAGCACAGGATTGCTCAGGCAGACTTTGACATTGAGGTGGAAGGTCCGCTCTAACATCAAAAATTTGTGATGCTAAGTCCACTTTAGAGCATTTAAAAATGCGTTTAAAATGCAGATCTCTCTGAAAACCTCATCAGAGATGAGAAGTTTGGCAGCGAACACTCCATAGCACATTCCCAGTTAGCGATTTGCATGCGCAGACCCCTGTGCTCCCATCAGGATTGTATCCCCTAATCTTTTATTCTCTCACAGTTGTGTCGGACCCCCGGGGCCGGTTGCCCTCCCTCTCTGACCTGCGGCTGTGCGGTTTGGATATGGGGGACTCTGCCCTCCGTTTGCTGCTTCGCCACACTCCTCGTCTCAACCGCCTGGATCTGAGTCACTGCGTCCAGATCAGTGACCACGGGATCCACATACTGACCGCAGTCACCTCCCCGCTGAGGGACAGCCTCACTCACCTCAACCTCACAGGTACCGGCTCCTCCCTCTGTCTACATGGACGGTTTATATTTTTATTTATAAGGAAATGAGTAACCTGTAGGCCTCATTCACATGAAAAACGTACAGCTCCGTGCTGCGTGCAGTGCCGTATCGGGCAGCTCCCGGGAAGGACAGGTCCTGCGTGTGATTAGTACGCAGCCCCCATTCTTCTCTATGGGACTACGCAGCCCTACGCTCACCTCAAGTGCAGGTCCGTGCGGGTTTCCCGGCTCAGACGCAGATCAATCCATCCTGTCAGCACACGGGTACGGAGACCCGCACGGACCTGCACTTGAGGTGAGCAAAGGGGGGCGTACGGCCGCGTATTCCAATAGAGAAGGACAGGGGCTGTGTACCAATCACACGCAGCACCTGTCCTTCCCGGGAGCTGCCCAATACGGAGCTGTACGTGCCGGCCTTTTCTCGTGTGATTTGAGGCCGTAATCTTTATCCAGAAGAATGTTAGCGTTGCCTTTGTTTTGTGTCACGCTCCTTTCCTTCTTTGCACCATGGATTGTATCTTGCTTCAGTATTGATCCACTTTTTTTTTTACCTAAAATGTTAACTTCTATTATAACAAAGTAGAAATGTGATTCCCAGCTGGCTCCTACACCGTTCCCTCCAGCCCTGCTCCAGCGATGGAATGTCCCTTGGCGTCCTCCTGCTCTGTACACAGTATAGAACATGATGGCTCACAGGACCATAGACTGCATGAGCGAGGCTGGAGGGAACAGTCTAAGAGCAAGCTGGGATCATGGCTCAGGTGAGTATATCTTTCATTTTGGCTCCCTAGACAAAACGAGCACTTAAACCTTGCAGTGTAGGGGTAGCCCCACTGCAAGGGTTAGGATTTGGTTGGCCTGTAGCTTTATATACAACTTATATATGTGCACTTGGCTTGGGGTGAGCAGCATTGTATGACTGCATTCAGTGGTTGCCTAAGAGAAGTAGCACTTTTTCAGTCCTTTATGGTACTTTATATTCATTATTGGTAAGTTTTTTTGAAGACTTACACACAGGGTATCACTCACGTTTTGATCCATATATTTATTCACATAATTTCATATTTATTCCAAACCTTTAGCGCTGTGACAACACTTTACACTTTCACTTTACACCTCTCATAGCAGCTTTAGGATCATTACTTGACTTTTAGTTTACTTTCCAAAAGCGCAGATTTTTTGTTGCAATCATGCCTAAGAGAAGGACCTAAGCAGGTTGGTGGCAAAGAGCATGCAGGACTGCGTGGTATCTGGCCACAAAGTATAATGTGTTACGGTCCGGTGTCCAGATTGTTACTACGTCACCCCTGTAGCCTGAAGAACGACATAAGGGCATGTAAATGACAGTAAGAGCAGGCACGAAATGCTGTGGGACACTTCCTTTTGCACAGCAGGAAATTCTGTTTTGGTGTGTAGCATCAGTGGCAGACCAATAGACAGTAAGGCCTCATTCACACGAGAAACGGCCGCCACGTACAGCTCCGTGCATGGCCGTATCGGGCAGCTCCCAGGAAGGACGGGTGCTGCGTGTGATTAGTACACTACCCCTGTCCTTCTCTATGGGAGTACGCCGTCCTACGTTCACCTGTCCGTGCGGGTGTCCGTACTCGTATGCTGACAGGATGGATCCTGTCTGCGTCCAAGCTGGGACACCCGCACGGTCCTGCACTTGGGGTCAGCGTAGGGCGGCGTATGACCGCATACTCCCATAGAGGAGGACAGTGGCTGCGTACTAATCACACACATCACCTGTCCTTCCCAGGAGCTGCCCGATACGGCCATGCACGCAGCACAGAGCTGTACATGCCTGCCGTTTCTCATGTGAATGAGGCCTAAAAGTGAGGGGAGGAAATGAAGGATGGAAGCCCCCTTACTAAATAAAAGAGCCTGAAATTTCACTCTAAAAGTAACCTCACAGCATAGAACTGAAGGAAGTGCCATGTGCAGACTTGATTTTGTAGGTGTCGCTGTGGGGGTGTAATCCCGATCCTGGATTTGCATTTCATTTGTTCCCTCTACATAAGTGCTCCAGGTGAACACCTCGTAGTATTGAATGACAGCCCCGGGTCTACCACCTTCAATAGCAAGTTGGCAAAGGCGAGTCCTCTCGTGATAGGTCACTTTTGAAATGTCCCACTCTGCAGTAACCTTATACTCCTCCTCCTTTTCAGGGTGTCTCCGTCTGACTGACCAATCTCTGGCCTTCTTCAAGCGCTGCCCCCACCTGCAGCTGGTGGACCTGCGCTCGTGCCGCCTCCTCACCAGCGAGGGCTTTCAGCGGTTGCTTCAGGATCCTCCCTCTGAGCCCAACGTGAAACCCTTCCAATGCGCCGAGGAGCAAGTCCTGAGCCGGGAAACCTAGAGGCGCAAGAAAAGGCCTCCTGACAAGGCACTCCTGCCCCGGACAGGGGCTATTCTACTGTATCTGCCTCTTCTACATGCCCAGATGCTGCCGCTGGGCCTGGAAAGTGAGGTTGCACTGAACTCCTTGACTTACGCTGCGGAAACGACAGCTGGTGGTAGCCGGAAGCTGTCGCCGCGCCTGGAATGGAAGCGGTTCGTCGTTGGGGGAAGGAACTTCTTTTATCTGGACTTGACCATTTGGGGTGTGGACACCCTGAAATATATTAAAATAGGGGGGAGGGGCACAAATGGGCTCAATACCTCTTTGCAGCCTATCGCAGGCTTGTTTAATCCATGGTCGCCCTCTCTCTACCCTGCTGCGTTCTCCTGACATGACGCAATGCATGCACGGCAGCGCTAGCGCACGCCAAGGAGAGGGGCAATGGTTTACTGTCATTAAAGGGTCTGGGTGGTCGTGGGTTTTTTTGGGTGGGCGGGGTGACATTCTGCAGGATGGATATAAGGGGTTGGGATGTACTTGATGCCACATAGTTTTTGGGGGGAACTGAGGGCCTCTGGGAAATTTTGGGGTACAAAACTGCAGGGTTCTAAAGGGTTCAGCTAATTTGCTCACTGAATCCCGTCCTGCTAAAGGCGCTTAGGAGGGTTCGAGAGGCAGAAAGCGCCTCTAGCCTTATTCTCAGGGTAAGGGCGATCTGTGCCTGGCGCGTCACGGCGCCGGGCACATCGATACCGAGTATCTTCTTATCTCACTGGTGTTATTAAAGTTTTACTCCACCTGTTTCGTATTTGTTTTCAAGACAGGACAGTGAAATCGTCAACTTCCTAAACAGTATGTATTGCCTACCTTGGTCTGCCACGCTTTCCTTCAGTGAATCAGTGGTTAAGGTTCACTTCGTTGCCATGGGAAAGCTGCGTATGGAGCCGCCGCCCCCCCCCAGTGAGGGAGTGTTCTTCTGAACACATCATTCCATTTATCTACAGTTTCCAAGCAGACCACAATAAAAAGTTGAACATTCCCCTTTAAATATCACGCCCAATCCAAAGCTGATGCTGCAGATGCAAGTGGTTGCTGGTCGAGTTGGCTTCTTATGTCTCTGGGTAAACCAGGGATGGGATGTCCTCCACCAGACTTCACAGTTCTTCTGGCGGCCATTACAAAGCCAAGTGTCACACGCCTCTGATGGTGTAAGAAAAGAATTTGAGAATCCAGCGGGGACACCATTGTTGTGGGAGCAGCTGAGGCATGAGCTACTAAAGAAATCCAGGCAACTGGGCACCTTATCTCTCTGGGAAGACCAGGAACAATGTCTCCTCCACCGGAGTTCACAGTTCTTCTGGTGGCCATTACAAAGCCAAGTGTCACACGCCACTGATGGTGTAAGAAAAGAATTTGAGAATCCAGCGGGGACACCATTGTTGTGGGAGCAGCTGAGGCATGAGCTACTAAAGAAATCCAGGCAACTGGGCACCTTATCTCTCTGGGAAGACCAGGAACAATGTCTCCTCCACCGGAGTTCACAGTTCTTCTGGTGGCCATTACAAAGCCAAGTGTCACACGCCACTGATGGTGTAAGAAAAGAATTTGAGAATCCAGCGGGGACACCATTGTTGTGGGAGCAGCTGAGGCATGAGCTACTAAAGAAATCCAGGCAACTGGGCACCTTATCTCTCTGGGAAGACCAGGAACAATGTCTCCTCCACCGGAGTTCACAGTTCTTCTGGTGGCCATTACAAAGCCAAGTGTCGCACTTCTCCTGAAGAAAGGAATTTGAGGGTCCAGTGGTGACACCATTGTTGTGGGAGAAGCAGAGGCATGAGCTATTGAAGCAATCCAGGCAACCAGGGCCTTCTCACTCTGAAGAAACCAGCAATGAGGTCTCCTCCACCAGATTTCACAGTTCTTCTCATGGTCTTTACAAAGCCAAGTGTCACGCTCCTCTGGTGTAAGCAAAGAACTTGTGAGTTTAGTGGCGGCACCGCCGTTGTGGGAGGATCCAACAAATGAGCTACTGAAGCAATCCAGAAGACCGGGGGCCTTATCTCTCCGAGGGAAACGAGGACTGAGATCTCCTCCACCAGAGTTCACAGTTCTTCTTGTGGCCAAGTGATGGCGTCGTGCTCCTCTGATGGAGTGAGCAAATGGGAGCTACTCAAGCAATTCAGGCAGATGGAACTTCCTCAAGATATTAAAATGCAAGTTCCTCCTTGTTGCATTTTGGCTGTGCAGGCAGGCTCCTGAAGTATCCATGAAAACAGAAAATGTCCACATCTCCTAATCACGGGCCAAAATCTGCTCATTTTACCCTAAATCCGGGCACCAAGTGGAAGACCACCTTTATAGAAGCTGCCATTTTCAAGTCTTTGGACTGCATACTAGTTTTAGGCCAGTGTATTCACTTGGAGACCCTTCACCTTCACTACCTACTTTGGACTGGGGGGGGTCAGAGAATGGCAGCTTCCTTTTTGGAGGCTTTTGAGATTTACAACCCTCAGATATCAGATGGGGCTGTGTGATGTCTGAGCCCTCATCCTAAACCGGCCTTTTGACGTGGAATACCTGTTGGGGGGAACCGCAGACGCTCGTGGAACGGAGTATCCTTCAGCCAGTGTGTGATCTTCAGAGCTGAGCTTAGGCTTTGCCCCGGGGCCCCAACTCTCCCGTGGAAGTTTAACGAGCCGAGGGTTATAAATGGTCGAGCACTTTTTTGAGGTTCACCTAGAGCGTGCCACGCAAAACATTTTTGGATACTTCAAAGACTTGTGCCGGAGTGAAAGTAAAAAAACACAAATATATATCTATAGATTTATACGAGTATGCGATGATTTCACTGTCATGCCTCATGTTTGCAGAACGGTGGATTTGGGATCTGCAGAACAACGTTCTTCTGTCTCATTCGGGGTTTATTAGTTGTGGGCATGTCAGCCCCCTGCCCCCCCCTTTGGAGGGCTTAATAATATAAGGAGGGCCTCTGAATGTGTGACGGGGGTTAGGCTTGACAAGCATCTCTGTGCAGCTATTTTTATTGTTTTTTGGGAGGGGGGGTAGGTGGGGGTTGGAGAGAAGCGCAGTATTGCAGGTGCCGGACTCTTGTTTCGCATGTTACAGGCACGTGACTGTTAAAGTGTTTAAAGACCGGACTGTCTGAGTGGCCGTCAGCGACTAGTCAATGTTAGGGCAGAACGGGGGAGGGGCAAGACTGGTACAAGACAACGGAAGGGCAACAGTGCCGTGTCAGATTCCTCGCATCACCTTTCATCATCTCGTGGAGTCACCAGGCGGCCCAACGAAGTACTGATGGGGGGGGTCATAATAATCTGGCCACTCAGTGTATATTAGTAGCTAGGTGGCCCTTGCGGTGGCTCCATTTTGTTTGTCTTTTTCAGGCTGACACGTACAAAAAAAAAACCTGTTGATCCTGCCAGGAAATGCTGCGTCCTTGTCACTTCCTGTGAGCTGACCTGGAAGAATAAAACAATGTTGTCTTTTCAAGCTATCTAAACTACAAACCCTCCCTCCCCTCCATGATAGATAGAGGATGACCTACATGTAGTCAAAGGCGGGAGAGCAGCTTGGTTCACAACCTGTGCTCCTTCCATAGAGACAGTGGAGGAGTTATTCACCTTTTAATGCCATCATCTTGAAGCAATTAGACAGCCATTGATGTGTGCACTTCTCCCTCCATGCTTGTTCCAGGTCAGTGGCTGCATAGAGAAGCCAGGATGATCATGACGGACCTGGAGCCTGCACCTTTGGGGCCCATTCATTATGAATGGAGGACCAACTCACCACAACGGTTCAAAGGAAGTGAAATGCAGCAAAACACAATGCCCCGTATATGTGCTGCGCTGTACCGTACAATGGGTTGGGGTTGCATTCACAATGAAGTGCTCAGCACATAGAGCAGTGCGTTGCCATTCAGTGCAGCAATGCGTGTTAGGGCGTGTTGCCACATCATACAAGTGCATTATTTCTCAGCACCTCAGTGGTCCGGCTGCCATTCAACCCAATACAGCCCGTAGGGCGGCTCCTTGCCTGCTCTGGCCATTGCACCCCCACGCTTTCATTGTCACTTGTCATATGGTTGACTTGTCATTGTGTCCCGAGCCAGCCAGTATCACTTTGTTGAGGTGCCTTGTGTCTGGCCCGGCCCTTGGACATTTCTGACTGTAGGCCGCCAGTTCTGACCTTATGTTGAAAATTGCCTGGCTGTCATGCTGATCTAATGGCTTCATTATTATCGGAGTCAGTCAGGCCCAGAATACAGAGAACTGCTGTTGACTTCACCATCTGCCTTCTTTGGTTCAGAGTCAGTAGGGCAGAGATGGAAAGATCATGGATGGATGGATGGATAGATTATGGATCATAGATCAGAGATAATGGAGCATAGACGGATGGATGGATCATAGAGGGATGGATAGATCATGGATGATGGATCATAGACGGATAGATCATGAATGATGGATCATAGATTGATGGATAAATGATGGGTCATGGATGGATAGATCAGAGGTGATGGATCATAGAGAGATGGATAGATAGGTCATAGATGATGGATCATAGAGGGATGGATAGATCATAGAGAGATGGATAAATCATGGATGATGGATCATAGATGGATGGATAGATCATAGAGGGATGGATAGATCATGGATGATGGATCATAGAGGGATGGATAGATCATGGATGATGGATCATAGAGGGATGGACAGCTAATGGATGATGGATCATAGAGGGATGGATCACCCTAAACGTCCCCTACGCTCCTCCCAAGACCTCTTGCTCTCTAGCTCCCTTGTCAACTCCTCCCATGCTCGCCTCCAGGACTTCACCAGAGTCTCCTCCGTTCTGTGGAGCTCATTACCCCAACCTGTCCGCCTATCTCCTACTCTGTCTACCTTTTAGGCGTTCCCTTAAGACTCATCTCTTCAGGGAAGCTTATCCAACCTGACCACTAAAATATCAATTTCTCAAACAATTCATCCTCACAGAGCGACCTCCTCATGTATCACTTCCCCCTCCCGTTAGATTGTAAGCTCTCAGGGGTAGGGCCCTCCTCACCATCAAGGAGAGAGAGCAGCAGTGAGCGGTCTTTATTACAGGAGGGGGCGGAGACAAGACCAGTCACCCTGCACAAGGAGAGAGAGCAGCAGTGAGCGGCCTTTATTACAGGATGGGGCGGAGACAAGACCAGTCACCCTGCACAAGGAGAGAGCAGCAGTGAGCAGGCTTTATCACAGGAGGGGGCGGAGACAAGACCAGTCACCCTGCACAAGGAGAGAGCAGCAGTGAGCAGGCTTTATTACAGGATGGGGCGGAGACAAGACCAGTCACCCTGCACAAGGAGAGAGCAGCAGTGAGCGGTCTTTATTACAGGAGAGGGCGGAGACAAGACCAGTCACCCTGGCCAAGTAGAGAGGGCAGCAGTGAGCGGTCTTTATTACAGGAGGGGGCGGGGACAAGATCAGTCACTCTGCACAAGGAGAGAGAGCAGTGATTGGTCTTTATTACAGGAGGGGGCGGGGACAAGATCAGTCACTCTGCACAAGGAGAGAGAGCAGTGATTGGTCTTTATTACAGGAAGCTCCAAGTCTCACACTGGATTGCTGCACAGATCTGGAAGAAATACACACAATGAGGGAAGTTCCCTCAGACAGGTGTCCCCATTGGACGATCTCTCTCCCGGTAATGACTGCAAATTTTTAGGTTTGCCATCCCTTTCGGGCTTCGGTGAATTGCCATTGTGGCCCACGCCAGCCAATGTCACTTTGAGGTGTCACCAGGACGAGTTAAAGGGTGACTCTTTCCAACGGGGACACCAATAAGAAGCTGACAGAGGGTCTCACCCTTCCACAGTGTTGGCTTTAGATGTCAGGAGTGGAGACAATATGGCGGGAAGCGTCGCCCATTGGCCTTCCTTCCCTTCTCCTGGGTGATCAGTCAGAATCGGGTGCCCGTGGCGTGCAGCAAATGATCTCAATTAGCTTCCCATTATGAAGTCATTTCCCGGCTGTGTCACGATGATATTACGG